ATTATTATTATTATTATTATTATTATTATTATTATTATTATTATTATCATCATTATTACTATTATTATTATTATTATTATATTCAACAGCTAAAGGAGGCCAGGTTTGGTGTGTTGATTGTGTAATTATTAAAATAATTTAAATGTATTGCTGATTTTATGGGAAACAAAAAGACCATAACACAAAACTGGTAAAAGTGTGAATCTCTCACCTTCCCACGGCAACAACTGGAAAGTTTCAGATAAATTTGTTTCATAGAAATAAATACCTTTTTGTGAAAAAAATGTAAACATCAACAAAAGATTTGTATAAACTTATGAACTATTGTTTATTTTCCTCAAACTTTTAAATAAGCATGATAGTTTTGTTCTCATTTGTTCCTGTTTGTTTTGTTTTATTATTTATTTCCAGCATCAAGGCTGCAGGTTTACAGGTTTTTAGCTGTCCAGATTAATTTAGATTATTATTTTACATTTGATTTTTAAAATAAATATTCTCTAAAACCTTCAGGTCTACTGTTGAACACAAACTCGACCTTCAGTCATTTTATTGCAACATGAATATCTTAAGACTGAAAGTGTCTTTCCTCAAAATCAATGTCTATTTGCAAATATGATTTATTTAATATTTCTTTACAGTTTGAGTAAAAAGGCCACTTGTCATATATGAATACTTTGTTTTGCTTCCAACTTTATCTTTTAAATTAAAGAATCAGAAAGTTACTGTTAACCTTTTCTGGTTTTCTATTCAGACCATGACTCAGATGAAGACACGATGGTCTGTTTGCACATTCATAAGACCAAGTTCTCTCTTCTTTATTACTTTATATGACAACAACACCATAATGTAGGTTTACATGTGCACTGAAAGATTAACTGACTACAGTTTGTCACTTCAGTGGAGGTTTGTTTCCCTCTGCAGGATAAAGGAGGGAAAACTTTGCATAGAAAACTGATTTATCGTCAGAGATAGAAATAAAAGCCTTTTCATTGTGTGACATTGTTTTTTTTTTTTATGCAGTCTGTTTTCCTTTTCAGAACATTTTATTTCAGCTGAAGAAGCATTCTGTAAAACAGAAAGTCTGTTTGTCTGATGCAGTCATGTGGTCTGCACAGACTGCAGTGACGGTTTGATCCACCAGATGTCGCTGTGGGTCGCACTGTCAGGTAAACCGGAAAGAAGCGAAGGAGCAAAATAAATATTTAGGTATTTAGTTGATGTTCAAAGGCAATTATGTAAAAAGTTACTGTATTTAGACACAACTAGTAAAAAAATTTAAAAATGTCAGTGACGTTTGAGAATGTTTTTAAAAACAAACTGAGCTGTTCAGTCTGACTTTTACTTATGTTTCAAAAAATTGCAAACCTTATGTTTTTATTTGTTGGTTTTATTTTACTTTCAGCTTGACTATTAGTTCAATTGTAGTTATTTTTATTTACTAAATTTATGTTTGATGGGGAACAAAATGAAACTTATTTATTTTCTTTATTTTTTTATTTTTTATTTATTTATTTATTTATTTTTGATGGCCTCCTTTCTCCCCTTACAGCCATCCTCTCCACACCATTATTATGAAATATTTATTCTAGTGACTATCTAGTGTAGGTTTTTTATTATTATTATTATTTTTTATTTTTATTTTTTTTTAATAGGATAGAAAGAAAGAAAAGACAAAGTAAGACTCCAAAATATAAGAAATATACACAAAGAGAGCACCCGGCCACTGTCTGTTCACCTGCAAAGAACATGACAAAACACAGCAACAAAATACATATGTATGAAGAACTTAAAAAATTCATGGCTTTGCAGTAAGTTTCCATAAATATATATGCCCATACCTACGCCTATATACATACATACATTAAAATTCCCAAGTATTTGTAAGAATAAACTCAATAGGAGCACCATGCATGGATGAGATAGGAGGAACTACTGCTGTCAAGAACTTCCTGTTTGAAAACAACATCTTTTGGGTTTAATCAGCATTTAGCAACAGTTTGAGACGGAACAAGTCTGACTGGATGATTTCAAATGCAGACTATAAACCTTGGCAAATGTGTTAGCTCGACAATAAACAACTGTATCGTCAGTACAGAGATGCAAGGAGGCGTCAGGAATGTTTTGACCTACATTATTTATATAAATTGTAAAAAAAAAAAGTGTGTCCTAAAACTGAGCCTTGTGGCACACCATCAGTGACAGTTAAATAGCTAGATGAAGTACCATTGCATCGAACACAATTAACACAAATCCTAACCACAGAAAGTTTTAAAGTAAATTAAAAATTAAAGATACAACTGCCAGGGAGTTTCCATGTTTCCATGGGTCAGTTGTTCAGAAAAATTTTAATATTGGTGTAAAATGTCAAACATCTTGAGGATCCAAATGTCCTGATGCTGCTCAATAATCATGGTAGATAAATCTAACAAGGTTGAGTCAGGTCCTCAGGACGGATTCTTCTTTGTTGAATCGTTTCACCTTTTATACAAAAGACTTCTTCAGTCTGAGGAGCTGCAACGAACTCAGGGAGGATCCAAAGATCTCGAGCAGAACAAACATTCCCATGGTGCATCCTGGGGTCCCAAACCTGTAACAATCATAAACATGAAGTTCTTTCACAGTGGCAGCTCCTGAGAAAAAAGCATATTAGTGGGGCGGACAAGTTCCTGTTTACTGAGGAACTCTTTCTGCCCCGGTGGACCAGCCACCAGTGTTCTGTTATTAATGTGAGCTGCAGTAAGTCGGACTTCACTCTCAGATCATCCTTTTCACGGTTCACTGGTTTTGCCACTTTTGGCAGAAGCTCCTGTTGGCTGAAAGCATTTTTGTAAGAGCTGCAGCTGGAAATACCACGTTATCCCCAGACAGACGTACTCACATCTTTAAACGGACCTTTTTTATTTCACTTCCAAACATAAAGACTCGTTTTGTTCGACACATTAAAAAAACAGGCAGTTTTCTTTCAGTCTAAATCTGAATGTAGATTGTTTTCTTGTTGTTGTTTATTGGCACAGAATAAATGGACAAAATTTTAAATGGATAAATCAATTGTTAAATGTGTTTAAGCTTGAATTACAGTAATAAAAAAACAATATTTCTGTGTTTTAAACATCCTGCGTCCATTGAATAACTCGGGCAGTTAGTCAAACTGCCTGTTTGTGTATTCAGACACATAACAAGCAGATTCTTTACACTTTACAGAAAAAATGTCAGAATTACTCCAGCAAATTAAAATAAAAAATAACTTCAAACAAAGCTTAACTTGCCAATTTCTGTTTTTATTTGATTTTTCTTGTAAATTGCAACTATTCTGCCCCTTTCTTCTGTGTAAAAAACAAAAAAAAAAGTTTTCCCTTCATCCTAGGGCGCCTTTAAACTTGTATTTTCATCTTTAATGTCAAACGACAGCAGTGATTTTACACAAATAAAAGCATCCTTTAAAAGACTTTTATTGTGAAAGGAGCTAGAGGAACAGCCGAGTTGCTCAGTGATGATGAACTTCACTGGAAAATATGAGTTTTCAGAGAGGGAGGAAAGTTCTCTTCTTCCTGACAGCAGATTGAATTTGTTTTGGAGGTGAGATGTCGACCAGCGGGACCCCCCCTGACCGGATGTACTCCAAACTGATAGATGATGGATGCCAGGACGACTTCAGGACAGATGTGCAGCCCAGCGGTAAGAAGTTGGACAGTTGTAATCCAGCCTCTCTGTTCGTGAGTTGAACATGTTTTATTTTATTCATTTATTTTGGTTTGTTTTTATGTAAAACAAATAAATTAATATGCATCATAATGACATTTCACTGCTGCTCTGCTCTAACTTTATTATTAAAATTTTACGTTTCTTGATTTCGCAATAAAAAGTCAAATGTATTTATTTATTTTTGTCCATTTTTTTTTAAATAATTTTCTTTTGAGCAAGTAAAAGTTAATTATGGACGAAGAAAATGTCCAGAAAGACCGAATAAAATAACTTTTTGAGTTGATTATTGTTTTAATGTTGAATAAATGTTTTAAATTAATTACAGATGTTTTAACAGATAAAAACAATAAATATTTTCAGTCTGTGCACATTACAGGTGAAAGTATAGATTTAAAGATATGTTTAACAAACGTCCTCCTATTGTTTTACAGTTTGAACCATTCTGTTCACACACACACACACACACACAGGTTTGTTTTGCTATCTTTATGGGGCCTTTGCATTGACTTCCATTCATTTTTCATTCATTTCTATAGCCTAACCATGACCTTTATCCATAACCTAACCATTACCAGTACATACTTAACCCTAAACCTAACACATCCTCAATTCACACCTTAGTCCTAAACCTAGCCCCTAACCCACCAACGGGACTTCTTCTTATGGGGCCCGGGCTTTGGGCCCCATAAGGAGCAGTTGGTCCCCACAATGCAGTATAAGTTGGAAAAATGGGCCTCACAAAGTAGCATAAACAAGGACACACACACACACACACTTCTCTGCAGCCGTTTCAAGTTATTTTGTTGTCGTTTTGTGTTTTTTTTTATTATTTATGATTATAAAATAAATCTTAAAATTAACCTAAGGTATAAAAATCCAGTGCACCACAAACTGACTGCGTTTGAAGTGTCATGATAAACTTCTGGACACCTCTGTCCGAGTGGATGTGGCAGCCGTGCACGTGCACGCGCACACTCGCTGTTGCTGAACGTCAGGTCTTTGGAGATGTCCTCGGTGGTATCGGATAGTTGCCATCTCTGGTGTCTGTTGGGTCAGGCTGTGCTCAGATAGATAAAACCTCCTCCTCAGCCTCATAATAAAAATAAGCATTGGGTTTATCTGTGTCTCTGATACACTTGGTCCAAATCTGACAGCAGACAGGTTCTGCTGCTCGGATGTGTCTCTTCTCTGGGACGTTCTGCTCGACACCATTAAAATGGACTGATGACAATCAACGAGCAACATGTCTCGTCTCCTTTATCTTTCTTCTGTGACACACGGTTGAATTCATCCACTGATAGAGACTGGCTTGTTTTTGGACTGTGAGAGAAAACTCAGATTAAACGTCCCGGCGGGTGTTGAACCTGCGGCCTTCGTGGTAAGCGTGACACAAACGTGGTGATTTACACGCACAAACGAGCACAGCACTGAAGAGGGAATAAAACCTCTGCCTCACGCTCAACAAACGTCCTCTGGTCTGGAGAAGCACATTTTGGATCATTTAATTTCCTGTGGTAGTTTTTAGGAATGAAAGGTTTAATTTGACATAAATGTAATCTGTTAGTGTGAGCGAGCACACAGTTCCAAAACATACAAACCACAGAATGAAAGAAAAGCTGCTCCAGTGATTAGAGTCAGATGTTTAGGCCGACAAAAAGCTCCAGCTGAAGAACTAAACAAATGCTCAACACTGTTTATAATCAGAACATTACAGAAAACATATTGAAACAGAATGTAACATTAAACTTGTTTTAACCAAAAGAGTAATTTAAAAAAAAAATCCTTTATTCAATGAATTTGTTTCTTGGTATCGGAGCAGCGCCGATGAAGCACATTTCAGATCTAAACGTTCATAAACGCTTCGCTTCTCCTCTTTAATCGACTCGTGTGACCTTCTCCTGTGTAGAAACAACGCAAACACAGTCGGAGTTGTGCAACTCGAGTCGTCGCACGAGTCCAAGGTTCAGATTAAACTGAATCGCTTCGTGTTCTTCGTTCAACACCTGAAACTTCTGCACTAAGCTCAAGTCCCTAACACGCTCATCTGTTGACATTTTATGAAAAAGTCTTTCAAAGCTGGTCACCGTTTGCAAAATTAGCAGATTAATGCATCCTTATGTAATATCTGCAGACTCATTTCTGACAGTTTATTTGTACCTGTTAGTCTTTCTCTAGATTATTGTATTCTACCAAATTAATATAAAAAATGCTCTCATTTACATATATTGTTAGTTTTAATTGTCAGGAAGTGAGGGGATATGACTGAACAGCGAACCACTGAGGCTGTATTGTTGATTACATTTCAAAGCATCTTTGCGTGATTTGATAAAATCTTTGGTTTATTTAATTGTGACATCAAATCATGTAAATCATTAACGTGCACAGTCGAGTCAAAGAGAGACTCGTGCGTTTGATCAAGACAGACGTAACAATCCGACCCCACGAGGAGCACAACAGAGACACTTCCTGTCCTTCACGAGAAACATCCTGTAAAGTCCCAATAAATGTATTTAAAAAGAGAAAGAGGAAACTGAGAAATCATCATTTGTCTTTTTTTTCTTACATTTGTTTAGCTTTAGTCATTAGTTATATTTGTTAGAGCCGTGCTGCACAGTTTTATGTTTAGGTTTAGGCTGTTGTCTACTTGATTAATCATAAGTACCTGATTTGGTTTGGGAAAGTTCAAGGATTGATCTTAAACGGATCCATATTAACATGGTATAGAGCATATGTGTCAAACTCAAAGCCCGGGGGCCAAATGTGGCCCTCGTTGACATCTTTTCTGGCCCCCAAGATGATATGTGAAAGGCAAAATACTTCTGTCTCTTGAATTTTTTTCAGTAATCGTTGATTATGATGAAAGCACAACAGAGAACATCAAATGAGACCGATCAAACTCTTCCTGAGGAACCTGTGACCAAGAAAAGATGATGGGTATCTGGTTTGAGTTCACGTAGGTTCTGAAATTGGTCCTTAGTTTGAAAAAGGTTTTAATTTTGGCCCCCTTTTGTCAGTGAGTTTGGCACTCCTGGTATAGATCATACAGAATATATAATATAATATTTGTATTTGTTGTTGTTTTACACTGGATGTTCTTCCTGATGCAACCTGGGCTCAGAACTGAAAGGTCATGATGCTGACCACTGAGCTACTGCAGCCCACCAATAATACTTTATATCCATCCATTATCTTTACCCACTTCTTCCTTTTCGGGTAGCGGGGGTCACTGCCATCACTGTGCAAGAGGCGGGAGACACCTGGGACAGGTCTTCAGTCCATCACAGGGACACAAAGAGACAAACGACCATTCACTCTCTCACTCGGACAATTTAGAGTCACCAATCAGTCTAACATGCATGTTTTTGGTCTGTGGGAGGAAACCGGAGTACCCGGAGAAAACCCACGCATGCACGGAGAGAAAATGCAGACTCCGCCCAGAAAGGTCCCGGGCCGGGATTTGAACCAGCGACCTTCTTGCTGAGAGGCAACAGCTCTAACTGATCCACCGTGCCGCCAATAATAATTTATAATATCTAAAATTGTGCATCTACCCTATCATGGTAGAATACTCCATTTTGCTGGTTTCCTTGGCGATGGGAGATTTGGAACAATTTACATATAAGCTGCCTTTTGAAACTTTTAGTCTGTTTCTTTATGAAAAGGTGACATTACGTTTGTTTTCAGAGGTTACATAACAAAATTAAATAAATAAAAAAACAGTGATTCCTCATCTATCGTTGAGGTTACGTTACAGAGACCCCCGCAAAAGGTGAAAATCCATAGCTATGTTATATTTTATTATTTATATATATATTAAGGCTTTATAAATCCTTCCCACACGTCTACAAACCTTTCCAACTCTCTTATAAACACTTCATTATAAATGCTTCTGACATCAGTGGCCAACATGTTACATGTGTACTTGTTTAGTAACGTGTTGACCACTGGTGTCAGAAACATTTATAATGTGTTGGGGGCAGGGAGGGCACTGATTGGGGGGTCTGGGGGTTCTCCCCAGAAATTTTTGAATAAATTAGATGCCATTTTACTTTATGTGGATAACGAGCTTTCTCTGATGCCATAAATATAGTCGTACTTGTAGCAAAGTACCACATTCACTGTAGTAAGAGGAGAGATAATGAGCCCTCCTTCCTGTTTGATGAACGATTTTAAGTCGTACTATTCTTCATTAAGTAAATTAAAAAACTGCAAAACTGCTAAAATCATCTCACAACAGATACAAACGTATTGTTTTAATTAAAACAAAGTTCCTCAAGGAAAAAAAACTGATGCGCTTGTCAGCAGGTAAGGGGCGTTTACCTTCGGGACAAATTGAGGTCGTCGATTGGTCAGTTACTGACACGCCTTCTAAGGTGATTGACAGGTCGCGCCGTCGAGGATCCGATTGAAGAAAAAAAAAAACGAGGTCTGCGAGAAGGAGTTCTCTGCAGACCAAAGTGGAAGCACAGCAGTCTGTGCAGCGCAGGGCTCCAAGTAAAACAGGAGATAACCAGATATTCTGCTTGTGCCCTCACTGCCCTGGGCCCCTTAAGCCCCTTATCCACAGGGCCTTTTGGGGCTCCCATGTAACTAGTTCGGACCGATTGCGTGGTTTATCCACAGTGCCTTCAGCGGTGGAACCCACCCCATTTTTGGGACCTACTTCTCTGAGGTCCCAGGTCTGGTTCTTGTTGGGTCTAGATGTGACATCAGCGCACTGTAGGTCACTGATTGGTCAGGGGGCGTATTCATTGGTGGAGGGCGGAGATCAAGGAGGTCATCCATTTTGGTTGTGTATTGTTTTCTGGCTCTTCTTCTTCTTCTTATACATGTTAGTGGTGCTTAGAAAAGAGCTTAATGTAGCACTAGCGCCACCAGCTGGTAAACTGCATTGATATTAAGACTCCACCCACTAGAGGTGAACAATCCACCCACTAAACGGGAACTATGGGCACTGTGGAGACAGAAAAAAAAGAGGTCCCACCAGAATCGGACACAACAGGGTCCAACAAGAACCGGCCCTGTGGATAAGGGGCTTTAGAGATCATGGGCCCCTCACCAGTTGCCCATATGGTTAATCCGGCCTTGGCCGGCATTGGCCATTTTAACAAGGACCAGGTCACATGATTGAGAAACGGGACATTCTGATGAGAAATAATTTACTGGAAAAAGACATCTGTGGAAAAAGACGGAGGAATGCAATGATACAAACAAGCCAGTAGAAAGGGGGTATACAGGAAGGACGTGGAAACTATGGAAACTTTGAACATCCAGACTGACTCAGAAACAACGCTGGGCTCGGTGTTCCAACACTGAAGAGATAAATCTGCTATCACACCTGGAGTCTGATCAGGTAAAACAAATATACCTCGAGAAGAGGAACACAGGTCAGGAGGGGATTAACCATCATCTCCACCATCTGAGTATGGGTACCAAACTCCTGAATAGCTCAGAGGAACTGAATACAAGGTCTGTTGACCTGAGACTGAAGATCCTGACCAAGTTTGACACGAATGAACTGCACCCCTTACCAAGATTATATAAAAGTACCAGCTAGAAGTTTGGTAGAAGGTGTGGATCCAGTGGTGTGTTGTTGACTTCACCTTTCATGATAACATTTCAACAAGCAGTCTCTATCACCTCCAGATTATCCAGTATTCCCAGTCAGAGTCCCTCCCAGAATGAGTGGCCCGGGTCCGTACCGCTTCGCCACCATCTGCCTGGCTGCGCTCTGTGCTGTCCTCCTCATCTCCATCATAGCTGTCACCGTACACTGTGAGTGTACAACGGTCAGACGTTACCAACCCACTGAAGGTGGGAGTATTCACGTCCTCAAGTGACTTTCATCCTTTTAGGGGTCATGCGTTGTCTTCACTGTCATCTGCAGATAAGAGCAAAGCTCAGGCTGGTGTGGAGGCGACCTCGGACATGCAGAAGGGGAATGCAAACATCTCAGAGATCAACACAAAGCTGCGGGAGGAGAACACAAGACTGCGCAAAAAGGTGGATGAGCTGATGGCCAACGTGACCGCCCTGATGACCAACAAAGGTACACCTCTCTGTGTAACACTGTTTTATTATAACATAATCATTAACTACAATAAGTAGTAGGTTTTTCTTTTAGAGATGCAAAATATAAACTGCTTAATCGTGTTTACTCTGTTTACTTAAAGTCTAAGCTTAAAACTGTTGATCCAACACAAAACCGACCTAGTGTTTTATTTTATTTTATTTGTGTCTTTAGTGGGGAAATTGAGTGAAAAGCCACCAACAGGCAGACCTGCTAATAACGAGGAGCTTATTATTTAAGGACATTAATCCTGTTTATTGTAGCATCAGCACTGAAAACAGCTGGAGACTGGCCACGGAGCCAGATGTTGTTGGCGGGGTCACAGTCGAACAGCATCATTAGTGCCCCACATGCAGCCAAATAAGGAAATATTGACAAGTATTTGTTTTCAAATGCATTCGCACAGTGTCTTGCATGAGGGTAATGAAGTTCCCTGTCTGACTCTAATAAACATTGCAGGAAGCCCGTGTCAGATTTTATTTTGGTGAATTTGCTTAAATTCTATCTCTTCTCTCATTTTCTGCTAGTGATCAAACCCACAGCCGTCGAGTGCCCCAAGGACTGGCACCTCTTCAGCAACAGCTGTTACCTCATCCCCAAACTTACAAGAAACTGGCATGGCAGCCAGGACTACTGTCAGACCCAAGGAGCTCACCTGGCCATCATCCTAACAGCTGAGGAGCAGGTGAAGGATGGCAGATTGTTTGGTGGCAACAACTACAATGGATGGATGGATGGATGGATGGATGGATGGATAGATGGATAGATGGATAGATAGATACTTTATTAATCACGGGGAAATTTGAGACATTCAGTAGCATTTTCTAATTATACAGAAAAAAAAAACACATGAAATAATAAATTTAAAAAAGCAGAATACACAAATTTGGAAAAAGACATGCACAAGCTGGTAGGGAGTACTACATTCACGATAAACCTATATACACATCTAAGCATACTTATACATGTAAATATTTTTTTTCATTCAACCTTTATTTATTCACATTAGTCTCATTGAGTCTCAAGGACTAATTTACAAGAGGGACCTGTTTATACATGCACACATACATATACCATATTTTCCACCGCACACGTCGCACCGCCCTATAAGTCATATCAATCCAAATTTGTATAAAAAAGTGTGAAAATCCATAAATATGTCGCTTTCGCCGTATATGTCGCATCTATTGTGTCACCGCTGACAACCAGGACCGGTGTTGTGCCAAAAATCGATGGGCTGCCAAATGACGGCCGCGGGAGTGCGCATGGGAGGACTTCAACAAAAATTTACCAAGATTAACACTTAAAACCAATATTTTTTTGCCTGAAATTATAGTAAAGTTGTGTCTCAGTCTAACTTTTGCTTAATAAATGCACTTTAATGGTCAAATTAGCTGCATTTTGCCGGGACGGTGCAGCTGGTTTGACTTGCTCCAAGCAGCGAGCAGAATGAAGGTGGGGGGATTATGGCAAGCCGATTGTGTCATTAATAGCTGGTGAAGATTCTCAGTCACCCAGGACATGGTAAATTCAAAACAGTTCAAGACAAAAACAATAAAGTATAAAGTCAAGTATAATAAATAAAGTCCAGTTGTTTGTGTACTGAACTTTTTTGAATTTGTTATTATAGCCACGTTTACGTATTACATTATATAACGTCATGCCCTACTGCTACTACTACTCTGCTGTCATCTAGTGGCTGAAAATTGTACTGCTCAATTTTTTTTTTCAATCAGAATGAATGCAAACGGTCATATCTCAGCCAAAAATTGGTTTATAAATATGGGAAAAAATCCATAAATAAGTCGTTTCGGCCTATAAGTCACAAGACATGTAAATTATGCAAAAAAACATGACTTATAGGCCAGAAAAAACGATATATACATACATGTCCGGGGTGCTGCAGATTTACAAATCTCTATTTTCACTGTACAAGGAGGAGTTGAAAGGTCGGATGGCTTGAGGGACAGCGGACTTCCTGAATGTGTTCGTGGAGCAGACACAACTTCCATCCATCCATTATCTTTACACATTTCTTACTTTTCGGATAACGGGGTCAATGATACCCATATCCAGCAGTCACTGTGCGAGAGGCGGGGGACACCCTGGACAGGTCTCCAGTCCATCACAGGGACACAAACCAGACGAACAACCATTCACTCTCTCACTCACATCTAGGGACAATTTAAAGTTATCAATCAGACTAACATGCATGTTTTTGGTCTGTGGGAGGAAACCCACGCATGCACAGAGAGAACATGCAAACTACACCTAGAAAGGTCACAGGCCGGGATTTGATTCTGTGACCTTCTGGCTGAGCGACTGCACCACCACAACTTCCATGTTTTTCGAACCTCTTAACCGTGCCCTGAACAAATGAAGAAGTCAAATCTGTACATGTTGTAACCGGAGCTTCTCTGTTCTGGATGTGGCATCCGGTTCTTTGGCACATGCATCCTCTGAGCCAGCATCTTTACAATAGTAATGAAACTGTTAAAGCCTGATTCAACATAATCTATAACTTCTCTAAAATCATGAAGTGACTCACAGCCGCAATGTCCGCAAAGTTCAATGGTTCCACGATGATTCACAAAGTGCATTTTTAATAACTTGTTTGAGTTCAGTGGGTCCAACGCGTTGTATTAGTCAGGTGTTCTGTAAACAAAACAAGCCCAAAGAACGTGCACGTCAGGCTGCCTTCAGGCCCAGGCCTCCTCTGCAGATAAGATCTGTGCTCTCAGTGGGATTTGCCTGGTTTTATAAAGGTTCGTTAGTTGTTTTTTTTTTTTTTACTTTCAGACCTTTTTGTGGAATCTTCTCCCCAGAGGACACTGGAACTCATACTGGTTTGGCATCACAGACGGCGAGACTGAGGATGTCTGGAAATGGATCGATGGCAGTCCGCTGGTTGGAGGGTAGGTTCTTTTTGTCCTCCATGTCACTGCAACACATCTGGACCAGAACCACACCCGGGTCAGTTGATTCGGAATGGAAATCCAGATTTAGTTTAAAACCTTGATGTTGGTTTATTTGTGCGTATACGGTGTTTTCTCGATTTAAACGTACGCCGTGTTTCTGTAAGAAATCCACGCAAGTCTCCAAACTCGTGTTGCTGATCTTGTTTTAACTGCCGTTCTGATCAGCAGTTAAAACAACCGATCCAGGCCTCGACACAAAGAACTCCTGAAATACTTTGGTTCTTTAAAGTTCTTCCTTTTCTTCTCATATTTTGTCAGGAACAGATGAGTTGCTCCATTTTTTCCTCTTCAAGCTACTCATATTTTTTGTACTTCCTTATTTTATGTTTTTCTGACTTCTTTTGCTGACTGAACAAACTTTCCTAAAAAACATTTGATTTCGCTTCCTCATTTTCATATTAATAACATATACTTTGTTATTTATTGTCCCTGCACCACCCACCCTTACACTTTTCCTTCTGGACATTTTTTTTGTTGTTCTCATGTGGTTCTGACTCAACCGGCTCAAAAGCACAATCTGACTTTATGTCTTGATTGTTTCTGCAGAATACAGCCTAAAAAAATATGAGGAAATTATTTGGATGTCATCATCGTATCAGTGGAAATGAATGTTGTGCTTTCTAAATATTGATCCTAAAGGCAGAATGTATAAGCAAAACAAAATAGGACCCAAAATGGACCCTTGAGGTACACCACAACGAAAAGGAGCCAAAGAAGAATGTTCCCCCATGGAAACAGAAAAGGACCTGTCCGTTAAATAAGTTGTAAACTGTTTGCTTGTTTTATTATTGTTCACCTGCATTGGTTTATATTCTAAACTTTGTACAGCACTTTAATCAGCGAGGGTTGTTTTTAAAAAGTTCTGATTTTTTCTGTCGTTCGTCTTGAACCGTAGTTTCTGGGAGCCGAACGAGCCGAACAACCACATCAACGAGGACTGTGGCTACATCGTAAAAACAGAGGTGTTGGAGCGCGTGGCCACGAAGAGCTGGTACGATGCCCCCTGCAGCATGTACTTACCTTTCATCTGTGAGAAGGAGATGGGCGCCAACGCAGCGTCGCACTGAGACGTCATCAACAACAACAACAACAACAAACAAACAGGAAGTCTGGCAGATTTCATTTAAGTTTCTTCTCACAGGTTCAGAAACGTGCAAATTTAATTTTATCTTTGTGCTACATGCTATTGTTTTGATTGGATATTACTGATTGAAGTTTTATTGTTTAAACTTATCCCTGACATTAGCATGAAAACTCAAAGAATAAACATAAAGTAAAAAATCATAATCATTTCTGTGGTTTGCATCGATTTTTTCATTTCTGTTTTCCATTTTAAAGAATCAAATCCTGCTTGGACGTCGGCGGCTGCAGTTGATTTTATTTTAAGTTCACATTTTGAGCCAAATCTGTTCATAAAACCTGAATTAAAGAAAACACTTCAGCTGATCCTTCTTGATGCAACATCATTTAGCTTTTGTATGTTTGATTGGCACATGTTTTCTACCTTTATGTGCAAAAATCGACCTTTAAAGATACAAATAAAATGCACAAAATGTTTAGATGATTAAGCTCGTACAGTAATCCACTAAAGTTCAACTGGCACAAACTACTCAAGGTACTTTTTAAAGTACATTACTGTACCTTGACGTTTCACAGCATACAGAAATGTTTTAGAAACTTAAATCACATAAATAAAGTTTTTAAAGTTGCACACTTCAGTTTTGCACAGTACAGTGTAATTATTACTACATTCATTGGTTTATTTCTATATTTCATGCATATTGTTGGACACAAACTGTTTAGTTTGTAATTTTGTTTTTAATGTATGTGCGATGAAATTATAAAATCATGTTTAAATGTAACATCAGTCGTCAACAATTCAGTCCAGTTTTCATTTTTAACGATTAATCAGAAAGTGAACTAATGTAACTTGTCTTTAAAATGATAATAAAAAAAATAGAATAAAAGTTTTATTTAAAACAATCACTTTACTTGACCTTTTTGTTGTTTTGTTTTGTTACTGTAACCTCTGGTGAGTCAATAAATAAAGAAAATGCAGCTTTATGGCTTTTAAACTTTACGCCTCAGATAAAGATTTTAATGCTGCTTTTCCCACTATTCACATTTTCAATATAAATTATTCCTGTTTGGTTTATTTTCTTACATATTTCTAAAATAACACTTATTTTACTCTTTATATAAATCTTAAGCTTCATTTGTTGTGTGCGAAACTGTGAAAATTGTTAATTATTTCACAATTTTCACAGATTTTCCTTGTTCTCACGTGATTAATTTAGTAATGAAGGTTTATTCTTAAAATGTATTTCTCATAAAAGTCAGTGAAGCAGCTAAGTTCAGGGGATTGAAAACAGGCTCACAATGAAAATAATCAACTACCTGCAGCTGTTTCCAAACTATATTTAAGTAAAACCTCAATATTTAAAATCCTGTTTGCATTCTGTTAATGAGCCACCAGGTGGCGCTCTAACAACAGGTGAACTCCACAAGTTGACCTGAGGTCAAATGATTTTTTTTTTATTTTACACTATTAAAAAAGAGTTTCAGGTATTTATCCATGCAGTTTTAATGTTTAAAAACAAGAAAAAGCAGAAAATAAAATCAGGTGTAATCTAACTTGTCAATATTTGAAAGAAAATCCTTGACAACTTAAAACACAAAATTAAAGCTTGTATAGAATTGATATTGAGAATAATATTTATGAAAACATAGTTTTGGTGTGTGAGGTAATGAACATTTCAATGCCACATTTAAGAGAAAAATACTTTTTGGTGTTTTCTCATTTCACAACGGCCTTGATGCAACACTCCTTTGTTGTGAAAGTAAATAAATAAATAAGTCACAACCTAAAATACTAAAATATGAGGTAGAATGGGCTTATTATATTTCACAGATTTGTCTTTTAGACAATATATTCAGCATTTACCAAAACGGACATCTGCCCCGCACACCTGAACTTCTATTTTTATTATTATTTAACGGCGTTTCTTCTTTTAAAGTTCTTTAAACCCGTCTAGCTGTCTGCGTGGACCTGCAGCCAGTCCTCCGTGTCTCCTCGACCTCTGCCCATCTCCTCAACGTGCACTGACAGCGTCACTGAAAGAGAGCGCAGGGTTTTACTCCTGAGCTCGTTACAGCAGAGATACCTGGAAGTCAGCAAGCCTCTGCTGTCACAGCTCGTTAGCCCCGATTACAGAGTGAGACTTAATGAGGGGGGGTCCAGCTGAGCAGCAAATCAACAAGGAAGGAAAAGTTTGGACCAGGGCAGGATTTTTCTTCATGCAGAACCAGCTCTTCGTTTGTTGGTTTTAAATCCAGCTGAAAACAATTGTTTTGTTTTTAGGGAATAAAACATAGTTTTTGTCTTTTATAGTGAGATCACTTCAGTAAATGCAAATTATTGAACCTCTAATGCAAAATAAGGACATGGGCCTTATAGTGATGTCACATTTATGTGGGCAGGGCTAATAGATCGCTTAACCTTTATTTTTAAATCACATTTTTCTTTATTGCACAGTTTTAAAATGAAGGGATTTGAATAAAACAGTTAGCCTATTTCTTTATTTAACTTCTTCCAAATAAAAGCCTCAAACTGGACATTAAAACTCTATTTCAGTGCCTGTTGGTGGACACCAGGACCTGGTTTTTAATGTTTCAAAAAGTAGAGGATGATGTGCAGCAGCACGGAGTCAGAGCTGTTAGCAGTGTTGCCAGATAGAGTTGAGGTTTTCCAGCCCAAAAACATGTTGAAAACCGCCATATCAGACAAAAATCCGCCCAATCAATATATAGTTACAGTATATTTACAGTTTGAACATGAACACACATCAGTACAAGTCAAGGTAATTTAACAATATGTGGCAAAACACAACAATCCAACAAAAATCTTCCCAGACTTCCTAGCAAAATCAGAATGAAAACCACCCAATTGGCAGTAAACTGCCCAATCTGGCAACACTGGGATGAGGAAGAGGAGGGCCAGGCAGGTCAGCTGTCAGAGGAGGAACCGTCTTCTAAAGATCCTGGCTATGAGAACCATGGTGCCCTCCTTCTTTTATCAGTGTTTGATTATACATTTCTCATAAAAACATTTGCTCTTCATCCTCAATCTTTTACTGCTCAAGTTTCATCAACACTTGTCAGCAATGCCTCCATAGCATGAACATGTCAGCCAGGACCTGCAGCATGGTTCTTTGAAAGAAACAAAGTCGGAGCAAAAAAGCCGTTTCTTAACGAGACTTTAATGAGTTGCAGCAGATGTAGCTCTGCAGCACCTGACCCCTAACGCACAAACAGCTGGAGCATTTTCACAACAACACAATGAGCTTCAGCCAATACGCCTTGAAACTTCACAAACTGAGTCTCAGAGAGCTGGTTGTTGACCACATGTCATGGTCTTCACGACAGATGACTTTTCTAACTGGAACTAGAGAAACTGGATGAAAACGCAGAGTGAACGCCAAAAGTTCATGTTCAACAATCCAGGTAGAAATCTAACAATGTTCAGTCAGGTCATCTGCACGGGTTTTTGTTTGTTTGTTTGTTTGTTTTTTTGCTGAGATGTTTCATCCGAAGGACTCTTTCAGTCTGAGGAGCCACAAACAACCTGGAGTCCTACATATACCACTCTCCCAGTGTGCTATATGCATATGGTACCGCATTAAGCAGTGTGAATGCTTAACGCTGAAGAACTTGCTGAAAAGCAGCTGAAATTAGCTTATCTATAACAGCTGAAATGTATAATGAAAGAACAAGCCTAAGTTCGGAGAATAAAGCAAAAAGAACATATATTTGCTGAATTAGGTTTAAATAAGCAGAAATTAGCACAACAATTTGGAAATCATCTAAAAAAAAGCCCAAATTAGCAAAAAAATAACTAAAAAGTAGCTGAAAATGTAGCTTAAACTAGCAGAAGGAAGTGGAAGGAGCTGAAATGAGTTTAAAAGATGTGGAATTGGCTGAAAAAGCTAAATTTAATACAAAACAGCTAAAAAGTTGCTGAAATATCAGAAAAAACTGAAACTGGCAGAAAAAGCTGAAATGAGTATAACAAGCTGAAATTGGCAGAAAGAAGTTAATTAGACTGAAAGGAGCAGAAATTACAACGAAAAACTTGAATTAAACTGAAAAGAGCTGAAATTAGCTAAAAAAAAATGCTTAAAAAAGTAGCTGAGAAGGTAAAACAACCTTAAAGTAGCAGAAGAAAGCAGAGAGAACACATTTGCAAAATGAAGAAGAAATGAGCACAAAAAGGTAGAAATTATATTAAAAAGGTTGAAATTAGCAACAACAAAAAACAGCTGAAAAGTAGCTAAAAAAGCAGAAAGTAGCTTAAATTACCAGAAGGAAGTGGAAAGAGCACATTTTTTTGCTGAATTAGGCTGAAAAAGTTTAAATGAGCGCAAAGCAATGTGGAATTGGTCAAAAAAGGCTAAAAATAGCATAAAACAGCTAAAAGTAGATGAAATAGCCAAAAAAAAAAAAAAAAAGCTGAAACGCATAAATATGCTGAAAGGAGAATAAAAAGCTGAAATGAGTATAACAAGCTGAAATTGGCAGAAAGAAGTTAATTAGACTGAAAGGAGCAGAAATTACAACAAAAAACTTGAATTAAACTGAAAAGAGCTGAAATCAGCTAAAAAAAATGCTTAAAAAAGTAGCTGAGAAGGTAAAACAACCTTAAAGTAGCAGAAGAAAGCAAAGAGAACACATGTGCTAAATGAAGAAGAAATGAGCACAAAAAGGTAGAAATTATCTTAAAAAGGTTGAAATTAGCAACAACAAAAAAACAGCTGAAAAGTAGCTCAAAAGGCAGAAAGAAGCTTAAATTGCCAGAAGGAAATGGAGAGAGCACTTTTTTTTTTTCTGAATTAGGCTGAAAAAGTTTCAATGAGCGCAAAGCAATGTGGAATTGGTCAAAAAAGGCTAAAAAATAGCATAAAACAGCTAAAAGTAGCTGAAATAGCCCCCCCAAAAAAGCTGAAACGCATAAATAAGCTGAAAGGAGAATAAAAAGCTGAAATTAGCTGAAAAAACTTAGAAGAAGCACAAAAATGTTGTAGTTAGCAGAAAGAATCTGAAAGTAGCACAAAACAGCTGAAAAAACAGCTGAAATTAGCTGAAAGTAGCTGAAAAATTGTTTCCATTTGCAGAAAGGAGCTGAAGCAGAACAAAATGTGAAAGGAGCAGTAAAATGTTGTAAACACATCTAAACATATGAAGGATGTAAAATGAGCTCAATTCATTTTCTGTGAGAAATAAAGCGGCAAAAAAAGGCTAAATATTTCAAAAAGCTAAAGTTGCACCAAAACCAAAAAGTCACAGCAGGATTGTCCTGAAAGAGCCAAATGTTTTGATTTATGATTTGTTGAAGTAGAACAAAAACTGTGGAACGAGAAAAATGTACAGAAGAAAAATGGATCATAAACTATTTAACGTTTATTCAGCTGTAAACATTTAACTCTTTCTACCAAGTGTTTCTGCGTTTTCCCAACAGTTGCATGCAAATATTTAAACTATTACATTATTACACTCAAGGTACTTTTTAGCTGAGTGAGCGTTCTTATTTCCACGTTTTGTTGTTTTATTTGAGAGAATTTCTTTAGGACCTCAAGTTTTCTGTGTCAAAGCTGATACTTCAAACACTGACCAGGAGGAAATAAAATCTTATCATTTTTTAAAACAGAAACAATAACCACAGACTTCATGTGGACCTAAGCACAGTGGTTGATTCAGGACTCCAGTCCTTCTAGAAGTTTGTGTCTAAACGGTGCAGAAAGATCATCAGGTGATGATCGTAATAATCAGGTCGTCTGTCCGACAGCTGGAGTTTGGGCGACGCCAACAGGACAATGATCCCAGACACAGCAACTAATCTGCAGGAAAACAGGTACAATGATGAATAAAAAGATTCAAGGTGTGGTCCAAACTCCAGACTGAAATGTTGTGGTGGAGTCTTTAAAAAGAAATAAAACCTCGCTTCTGCTTCACATTGATGTAACGGATGAAGTCGTTCTGACGACGATTATTTCCAGGTATCAAATGGTCCCACGATCTGTTAAACCTTCTTGTTTTTAAAGAACGATGGCTTTAAACGGTCAAATGTTTTGTTAAAAAACTAAAACCACTGCTGCTTCGATGGGTTCATGCTTCACCGAGTGCGACGGCGGCCTTCATCCATCCTCTTTAAAGAAAAGTGATCTAATGATCACTTGGACCTGGTTCACCCACCGTCATCTCTGCAGCTGAAACCAGATCATCTGTGATGCAGCCGCTCTGGTTGATGTCTCATACGACTCATGCCCTGCTTCAGTTCTTTCTGCCTGCAATACAAATACGTCTCTGGTTTCCTAATGTGTGTTTCCAAACTGTGTTTTAGAGCAATAAACCAAAAAATCAAAGGAGCGGGGGGTCTGCATGACGGATCAGGTTAATGAGCCTTCAGCTGCGTTTGCAGAGCTGTTAACAGCAGATGAAGAAAAACTCCCATTTTGCTCACTTTGACTCTTGATCCACTTTTTGTGCTGTGTGTCAAGCGTGACGCACGTTTAACCCAACCTGCTCTAAGTCCCTAACGAGATTACCCATCCCCGGATATCTCAGAAAACCCTGATTAACCAGGTTCAGCTCATTAGCTCTGCAGACCAACTGCAACTTCACTGCCAGCCTCCTCCTCACACCATCACAAAGCTCCTGACGAAGCGCCATATTGACGGTTCAAGTGATAACCTGAAATATTCTGTTTAGTTTTGTTTATTGTAAACATTCCCTGCACTTTAAATTAATTAAATCTGCTCTAAACTCCATCTCTTAAAATCCCTCGTTTCTGCAAACTTCTGCAGACTTCTCCTTCTCTAGGATTCTCTTTAACTTCCTGCCACCTTCGTTTGCGTCTTCACCCGCTCTTGTCATTTGACCTCATAACCTGTTTTCCCCCAATCAGTTTACCTGCCGTGTTCCCTCCCCCCGTTTCTCTCAGTCGCTCTCCTTCCCTTTCTGTTTCCATCTTTGCGCTTTATCCTTTCATCCCTTATCTCCTTCATCCCCTCCAATCCTCAGCTGTTCTTCTCTGTGGAGGAAGGGCAGGAGAAAGAGAGAGTTTCTCACCAGCAACCTTCCGTCAGCAGTCTGCTCGGGGAGCGCGTCAGAGGAGCCAGAGGCCAAACCTGGGATTGTGGAGTGTGAAGCAGCTCGTTGTGGTGGGAGCGACTGGGAGCTGCAGGAGAGAAGGCCGGCAGTGTGAGTAGATGCTTCTCTGCAGACGCTGAAGAAGGTTTCATGCTGCTGTCTGCTCTTTTGGATTTTATTCTTTCTAACTCTGAAAAACATGCACATATTTAAAAACAAATGATCTCATTTTGCTTCAAACTGCAGCTGAATTTGGTGGATTTTCACTCTTTTCATTGGAGCACTTGTTCTCCGAAGGCCTACGCTGTTTCAGCTCCTGGCGCTGAAGAAAACCTTTTTCAGGTGTGCATGTGAAGCAGGTAGAAAAGCCCACGGAGGCCGTTTGGATGCAAGTTGTCAAACAGGATGAGAGCATCAGGAGCGACAGCCGTGATCCGACACGCAATCCTGAGTTTTGTGATTCTGAGTTTCAGCTGCAGAGAACTTCTTGTTTCTCTCTGGGAAGTAGCTTCACGTTTAGTCCAAATGAGCATGTGTTGGATTTTAAATATAGAAGGGAACCTGATCATGGTTCAGACTAAGTTAAAAAACTTCTTCCTCCTCCTCTGCCTCATCGCTCTCCCTCCCTGTTTTGTTGATCTGGGGGTAAAGAGCAGCCAGTAATCGGATGACGGAGGATTGGAGCGATAAAGCTCACCTTAAGATCTTCTACCGGGATTTAAAAACTTCTAGCAACCCCATGAGCACCGCCGCCGCTGCACCACCGCGTTCCTCCTGCACCCTGTCACAGGTTCGGTCTGTGCTTCAAACACAGACTTGTGCAGAAATCCACGTGATCATTTGATTGTTTAATGTCTCAACGTGTTCTGAAAGATGCTCCGTTCATTTTTAATGACCCACAGCATGCAGCTGTTTGCTGTTTAAAAAAAACAAGCACTTCCCCATCTTCTTAACGCTCTCTGGAATAAATTATAATTCACAATATTTCCTAGAAGTGCAGAGCTTTAGCCCAGAAAGGCAGAAACACGAGCTGGTACTTGGCATTAAATTAGTCCGACGTCAGCATCCCATTAGGAGAATTAGAGCCGAACATTACACAACAGAGGGGGAGGGGGGTAAAAGTGTTTGTGTTCTGCTTAAAACTTTACAGATGTATCTACACAGAATGAATGGAGATCTATTGAATTAAACAGCTGCTTTAAAATGCTGCTTTTGTTAAAGAAATAAATAAAGAAGACGAGAAAACTCATGTCCAAACAGTAAAGAAGTCAAAATGATTGACGTTGTGGACAAAAAGGACGCGAATCCCTTTTGGTTTTCCAATTCTTACTTTATTTTATTTTTTATATAAAAACAAATCATCTTTCTCTCTTTCAAATCACTTTTACACTCCAGTTCCCTTCTCACCTCAGCACTTTACGGCAACTTTGTTGTAGGATTACATCTGCAAGTCAGACTTTAATCTCTGCTGGGAAAACAATGGAGCAAAAATAATCCAAGTGCTTTAATAGTGCGAGACTTCAGGGGAAGTGAAGTTACAGGCTGCTGCAGGTAAACTGGGGAGACTCTGCACAACTCACCGAGCTGTTCTCAAGAGCGTCGTATCTGAAATAACATTTCCTTCAGGGGGGAATTAACATTTACATCTAACTTTTTTCTTGTTTCCTGCTGCAGGGTGACTGTTCTGTTTCCCGTCAGTAACGTCCTCGAGCATCCGTCGCCATGGCAGCTGAGAAAGCTGAAATAGACAAACTGAAAAAGGAGTGTGACGCCCTCCGCACACAGATTGAGGTGAGCGCTTCCTGTCTGGGACTTCCTACTTCCTCCTGGTTTATTTACTCATCAAAACAAATCATTTTCTTGAAACACGAACACATAGTTTGCGTCAAAAAGATGCACAACCACACAAACATGGAAGAATACAGAGTGATGGGAGATTTAATAAAGAAGACATGAATGCGGAAGGACAGATGTTCGACACCCTCTGATGAGCGCTTCCTTCTCTCCTCAGGCGGCTCGTAAGGCGGTGAATGACACCACCATGACAGCAGCAGCCGGCGGTGTCGCCTCAGTGGGCCGGGTCCAGCTGAAGCTCAGGAAGACGCTCAAAGGTCACCTGGCTAAGATCTATGCCATGCACTGGGCTGCAGACTCCAGGTAACAAGCTGTGTGGGGCTGGGGGGTTAAAACCTTTATTTTAACAGAAATCATGACTAAAAAGCAGCTTTTTAAATCTGGATGAGCAGCATTTTACATGAATAAATACTAAGGGGAGGAATTTAATTTAACTATCTTCAAATTTATTGCTTCATTTGTTCAGATAAAGTAGATTTTAACACATTAATTTCAATCATTTTGCTCAGTCACGTCTGTACTTTTGATACTCAGTTTATTTTTGTTGAATAAAAACGAGGAATATGTTTATCAAGTTGAATGACGTGATATTCTGATCAATTTTGGCTGTTTGACCAACAAATTATTATTATTATTTTTAATTTAATGTGTAAAAATGTTGATTTAACTGAAAAAAAATCATAATTTCTAAGTTCAAATTGCATTTTTTTTCCATCTTAATATAGTTTTAGGACCTGAAAAGTTATTTATTTATCTTTGTATTTACCTGCATCTCTCATTTTTATGTAATCATGTTTAATATTTTAATTTAATGGTTTTAGATCAGTCTCCACAAGCTTATTTTACATATTTCAATGATATTTTGTTAGGAGAGACTTCTGTTTAATTCTGTTTCAGTAAATAAACTTAATAAGTCATTATCATAACAGTGAAATAAAATGAAGTTTAATCTTTACTGACTTCCTGTGGACAGAAATGTTCTCGTTGACATTAAAACAGTTTATGGTTTCATCTCATTTAAAGGCAAATGGTCAGTGCGTCACAGGATGGAAAGCTGCTCATCTGGGACACTTTCACTGGAAACAAGGTAGTTCACCTGAAACCATTCATTATTCCTGAAATTACACATTTTAACCACAGAGCTGCAGAAAATGTCGATAAAATCTTAAACGGTACACATAATAACGTGCAACCACAAGCATCAATGGGCTTTTCTTATTATACGTTTACAAACAGATTAACATTCATGCGTTCATACTTCATGCAGTTATTTTATTTAAATGAATTTTAAAAAAACAGAGTTAAAGTAAACTGTGATTAATTGAACAGTTACAGGTGTAAAGATGCAAACCAGTTAGAATTCGAGTAAAGTTGTGATTAGTTGGAGCTTTATGCTCAGAAAAGTTGTTTATTTGTTTGTTTATTAATGAATGAAGTGATGAATAATCATCTAATCATCCTCCCAGCTGGTTGCCGTCCCGCTGAAGTCTGCCTGGGTGATGAGCGTCGCCTTCGCCCCCTCCGGTAACCTGGTGGCCAGCGGTGGTCTGGATAACATCTGCACGGTCTACAACATCAAGTCCGCCAGCCCCAAGACCCTCAGGGAGCTGGACGCACACACAGGTCCGGAGGACGTCTTTAAAATATTCACATTAAAGTCAACGTAAAGAAAAGATGTTGAGAACTTTGTTTCCCGTCCAGGGTACTTGTCTTGCTGCCGCTTCCTGAGTGATTCTGAGATCCTGACCGCCTCCGGTGACACCACCTGGTAGGTTGATCTGGAAACCAGCAGAGCTCAGCTGCAACAGCTGCATTTAAAATATGGATGAGACGTCCTGAAAACATCTGTGCTTTAAAGCAAAGATGGACACACGACAAACAAAGTGCAAGTGCAACTTTACCAAAATAAAATCCTTTCACTAAAATTGAATCAAGCATTTTTTTAATGCAAACTTTAATCATCATCATTTATTCTGCACCAGTCTGTGCCTTGAGTCACGTTATTTACTCTTCCACCTTCAAATCACAACTTATTTATTGTCCAATGTTTCAGACATGATGAATTGAATCTGATACAACTTTCATTTTTAGCACTGGACAGTTTGAAACTTCTTAACAGAATTATTTTCTCACTCGTTTAAAGAACTGGAGCTGCAGCATCTCACTGATCAGTGCCGTTCAAATCCTGAGGCTGCAGGTTCGAGGCCAGGCTGCATCAAATAATCATCTGCATTAATCGTTAAAGTTTGATGTGCGCGTGCACGGGGGGGACCCCTGCAGAGGGAGCAGCCAAAAGCAAAACAGCACGTACAGGAAGAGTTAGCTGGCTGCTCCAGAGAAAGATGTGCATCTTAAGATGTTTCAATTAACGAATAATTGCACTTTTTTTAAATTTCGTTTACTTTTTATCGCCTCTCACTGTGATGGTGTTGTCATTTTCACTGCCACAGACGTGACTTTAACCATTATTTCCCTTTAATGTAACTTTTGTATTATTGATTCACATAATTATTTACAAACTTTTCATCTTTGGTCGCTGCGTGCAAATCGAACTACGCCTCAGAACTGTGGGAATGTGAAAACTTTAAGCAGAAGTTTGGCGACTAACCGCGTTATTCTGATGCGTTCATCTTTTTTAATAACTGTGGCTCCGTGGTTTTGGTTTTTCTGTTAGTATCATACTGGAAACATGAGATCTGTCACCAGTCCAACGTCCTCAACCACTGTTTTATCAAACGCCCAACTTTGGACTTCCTGACATCATTCAGATTTTGTTTCAGATGGACAATTACTGATGAGATCCAAAGTGAACCAAATCACCCGCTTATGTTACCAGCCATTAAATGGCCGTTATTAGTTGTTATTATCCCCATAGGTTACGTTCAGACTGTCCCTCCTGTACCTCCTAGTAGGTTTAAAGGTACGTTCTTATCGCTGATAACAGGGTCTGGGGGGTAAGTTTAGGGTCAGGTGTGAGGTTAGGTTTAGGAAAAGGGTTAAATAAAGCTAAAAAAAACACTTCCGGTTTTAGACGTGGGCGAAGCTGAATGTTATCAGCGATAAGAACGTATCTTTAAACCTACTAGGAGGTAGGAGGGACAGTCTGAACTCAACCTATGGGATGATAACAACTAATAACGGTCATTTAATGGCTGGTAACATTCAAAGCCACTGACCACGTCCTTTTCCTTTCCTCCTTATGCATCTGTCCTCTTCTTGTCTCTCGTCCCGCCCAGCTGTCTCTGGGACATAGAGACGGGCAAGCAGAAGACAGTCTACACCAATCACATCGGGGACTGCATGTCTCTGGCTCTGTCTCCGGACATGAAGTTCTTCATCTCCGGAGCCTGCGACTCTCTGGCCAAGCTGTGGGACCTGAGGGAAGGGACCTGCAAGCAGACCTTCTCCGGACACACCAGTGACATCAACGCCATATCTGTGAGGACACACACACACACACACACCAAGAATGACGCAGCCTGTTTGTCACGTTCGTTATGTTATTCAACTACTTTTTAATACCCAAACCCAAACCGTCCCTCCAGTTCTTCAACAGTGGAAATGTGATCATCACCGGCTCCGACGACTGTTCCTGCAAGATGTACGACCTGCGCTCCGACCAGGAGGTCATGGCCTACGCCGACCCCACCCTGAACGCCGGCGTCACATCCCTGGCCCTCTCCAACTCGGGCCGCCTCATCTTTGCAGGTTATGACGACTTCAACTGCCACATCTGGGACTCGCTGAAGGGAGAGAAAGTTGGTGAGGGTTGTTTTTATTCAGACGTCAAGAAAAATACATTTTCGTGATCGTTGAGGACGGTGATTGATGATGATGATGGTGATTACGGTTTATGGTTCAAGTAAAATAAAACGTGGCACGAAGTTCCCTGTTCTACAGATTTAAGTGCAGGTTTTTTAGACTAGAGAAACGCTGGCACAAAAAGACTTTTAATGAACTTTTCACTGAATCCCACAGTTTAGCATTAAATAAAAATCCAGTGGTGGCATTAAGACCTGCGGTTTGACCAACTCACGTACAGGAAATGATTTTAATTCGCCCGTCGAAGAGCAGATGTATAAAGTATGTACGAACAGTCGTAAACTTTCTCTTGTCCCACCCTGAACTTCTGATCTGCACAAGCTATTAAAGCTTGATACACTTATAGTGTCATAAACTTTTCATCACCCCAGCTCAAAGGTCAAGGTCACAAATCAAGGTCAAAGGTTATACAAGGTATCTGTCCGGGTCATGGCTATCGACTGCTGTGTTAATAGTTTATCGACGGGCGTATAATATAATGCGCCGTATTCGTTACGCGTTGGTGCAAACAAACTGTGTGTTCACGATTTACAGACAAAATGTAAAATTGATGCTAAAAATAAATAGTTAAATATTTTGTCTCAGGAGTTTTTATATATTTTTATGTTCTTTATTTCAAATGTGACGTTTAATTGAATACATAAAATTACATCCAGTAACTTATATATTTATTTTTTTTACCTTTTCTATTTTCTTCATTTAACTCCTCGCGTCTCATTTAGGTTTTTATTTTCTTACTTGCTTTTTATGTCTTCTATGTTTTTTAACATCATTTAATGGATTGTATGTCCCCCCCCCCCCCCTTCTCGTTCCCGCTGGCCTTTTGTCTTAATATATTTCTATTCTTTTAATTGGAAAGGTCTTTTACTCTAGTTTATTTGATTATTTCCCCTCTTCTTGTTTTATCATAACAAACATTTCCCTACATCTTTTTGAGTTTATGCTTTTCCCACTCTTTTCTTTCATTATTTAAAAAGTCATTGTTGCATCTATCATCCCTCATCCTCTCTTTTCTCACCATCTCTCCATTCCTCTCCTCCAGGTGTTCTCTCCGGCCACGACAACAGGGTGAGCTGCACCGGCGTCCCCAATGACGGGATGGGCGTCTGCACAGGATCCTGGGACAGTTTCCTCAAACTGTGGAACTGAGATGTTCCAGGAATGGAGAACCACAAAAATAAAAGGCACCTACAGAAGAAAAGAGGAGGAGAAAGAGAAGGAGAGGAGGAAGGGGTGAAAATATGAAAGAGGAGAGAAGATGCGTGCAAAACGACCTTCTCCTCTCTCTGTCTTCATCCCTTCCTCTTCCTCTTCCTCTTCCTCGTGAAAGAGCCACGTTGTATAAAAGGCCTCGTTTAAACGCTGCGTCCTGCTGGATGAACAGAAGAGCTTCCAGGCGCTCAAACACGTTTCTAAAAATAGAACATTAAAAAAATCAGCAAAGCAAAAATTAAGAGCATCAAGAACCTGTAGATGTTTAAAAATAAACGAAGAAAATGCATACATGTTGAACATTTTGTCATAGAATGAGATATTTATTTTTGTCTTGGAGATCTTTGACCTGTAAAAAACCCAACTTAGATGAAAGACTGTAAATTTATTAATAACTAGAATAAAGAATTATTGTATATTTTGTTGAAGGGCAAAGCAAAGTTATCACCTGCTAACGCAGATCAGGTTAACTCCAAGATGGCGGATGTGTGTCCATCTCTGTGATCATGTGACTGTCCCAAATAAATTATGATTTAAAGGTTGACTTTATAAACTAAACAAAAGTCTTTAAAAACCCGTGAGGCTAATTTCACCTCCCTGGGCTCTGCAGCATTTTGTAGTTCTCGTGCAATTCATGTAAAAAAAAAAAAATGTTTCTGGAAAATCTTTCTAATAAATAGTTCTGCATTGAAATCAAGTCAGTTTTTGTTTCTCCCTGTGTTTATTTACAAAATATATTTAAAACTGTGGCTTCATTTCAAATTTTACAACTACACCGCGCTGTGTATAACTTTTAAACAACTCCTCTTCTTTTTTGGCGTCTTGTTTCCCAGCAGCAGAACGTTCTTGTAATGTTTTAAACTGGTCCAGATAAATCGTTGCTCGGGCATTTTTAAGATTTTATTTTGTTCGTTTTGAGTCCAGTATCTGTTTCAGAGGAGTGAACAACAAACTGTTAAGTGTGTTTACAATTTGAGCAAAGTGGAGGACAAAGGACGATGTGTCCGAACTAAACCCGTGTCTGAAAGTTGTCTTCAGGAAAAAGGGCGAAAAAGTAGAGATGTCATTGCTAACCCAGGCCCGGGCCGGGCCAGAATAATGTGCTGGATGGGCGGGTTGGGTCCGTGTCGGGCTTTTGATTGCGTCAGTGGACACGCACGGCTGACGATCCAATTTGGATGAACAGCCGCACACGGCCGATTGACCGCGCACTAACCAGCCGATTGACCGCGCACTAACCGGCCGATTGACCGCGCACTAACCGG